ACTTAAAGCCCGCCAAGCCTGGCGCGTTCCAGCCTAGAGTTTAATAAAATGCCCGTTAAAATTCTTCTTGCAGGGATAGTACTAAGGCGGAAAGAAAAGGGGAGAGTGACGAGAATTTTCTCTCCTTTGGTGGAATACCTGGAATTGCCCATGGATATGGCATATTGGAAAGTGCACTCTGGTGCCGTGGTTCGACTCTACCGGTGCGAAAACCTGTCCCTCTACAGTTCACTTTTTGTTTGGATGGTAAACTGAAGCTGGCAAGAATTCGAGAATTAGAACGTGAATTCGACTCTGCCGTTCGTCTCCTACGGAAATCCAGTAATGCCGATAAGGATTATTGAGAAGAGGAGTTCAAATTCATTTCTACAGTTGAAAGGGAAATAGATTAATATTCTTGTACCTTGACAAGGAGATAAATGCCTTTTTTAGGGTATTTAGCGCGGTAACGCAAGCGAAATCGGTAGTGTTGAGCTGCCAGCTTATTATCTGCCTTACTCAATGCTTTATCGCCGTTTTATTGACTCAAGTCTGTGTTATTAAGCATGTGAGTAAGCGCTGCTAAGTCAACGTGAAAACGAACTATCATCCGTTGCACTTAATCTCTATCACCGAGCCTCTCAATCCCTGCCACCGAGCTTTTAGTATTTCAGCTGTCCTCTCAGTCTTTTCCTCCTCTAAGCGTGTGCTGCAGTACTGAAAGGCTGCCCTCTCAATCTCTGCTACAGGTCGCGCTGAACTTTCGTCACACTCTCAATCTCTAACACTTTCTCTCCTCTTACATTGCAGTGATGAAAGAGAAACTGAGGTTGAGAGGGCGACAAAAATACTGTGCAATTAGTGATAGGGATTGAGGCGGTTTGGAAATATTGCAGCGCTGAATATTTTACGCGCCCGTACATGAGTACTACGCGTACTTAGGTGCTGAATTTGAAATCTTTAACTTCTAATTAAACGGGGAACATCCCCCCAAAATTTCAGTCGTCCAGTCTTTCTGGTCTCGAATTAGCAAATTACTGGCCGAAAATTTTTACGGATCTGTACGTGAGAACCACGCGAGCCTGGGGCCGAACTTGAAATCTCTAGACTGTGCTTGGACCGAGGACATCCCCTTAAAATTTCTGCCGCCTAGCTTTTCTCGTGCCCAAATTAGCAATTTTTCCTGCCAAAACTTCATGTGCTCCACGCGGGGCTTAGACGTGCCTGAAGGTTGGTACTGCGGTGATGGGGCGGCACTTGGCGGGAAACCCACCGAAGTTTGTTTGGTTGCCGAGTTGAAATACTCGGACAGACAAACACATAACATACCATGTGTCGCCACAATATGCGTTTTTGCATTAAAGGATAAATCCGCTATGTAGTGAATTTAGGAAGCGTATAAGAATAGATGAGAAGGCGAACGAGAAAGGCGACGAACGAGCAGGTGGGAAGGGCCCGATAAAATAGTTGCCGCGGAATTCCCGCGAGAGCACAATGAAATTCTGGGAAGCTACTGCTTATGCAGAAAACGTTTCCAATAAGTGTAAGTACAGCGCGGAAAACACAGCGAATCGAAGGATTCGGAGATAGCAAAAATGAGAAATTCGTTTTAGTATTGTCATGACTTGTTTTTCATTATGATTATTACTCTTCTATCCTTACTTTTTTTTAACATTTGG